TCCCATATAGCATATTAGTCTAGGCAAGTTGTGTACAGAGAACAAAAGACTAATAATTTAAACCAGTTGTAAACTGGGAATAATGAAAAATTCTTGAATAACAGCTTGCCACAGTAAAATTAATGTCACTGCCAGCCATTCTGTCTATACTACCAATTGTTGGGTCACTTCACATTACCTTAAACAAAAGAAAACATAACAGTTAATTCATGTCATCAATCTTAAGAAATTAGAATTTCATGATCACGACACATACAGCAAAGTGAAATATAACTCAACTGGTTTGAAATTCATAGTGCATTTCGACTCGACATTTATTTCGCAAGGCAAAGCATTCTACTGAAATGTACAGGACAGAATACAGCTGACGCCATTCGTTTCGAATAACACATGAACATGAAGAAAACGGCACCAGTTTTACTCATGAGACAAAGTCCACGCATTTTTTTTGAGGCTAATGGACTAGTTAGACCGAAAGCTAGATAAATAAACAATAGACCTCTCCACGGTTTTTAGCGGCCATATTGTTTAGGGGTCAAACAAAACCTCGTTGCGTAGCAACGAGCAATATATTCTTTTGTAATTATTAGACGCGCGTCGGTACCTTCGCTCAATATCATAACTTTATACAGGGAAAATCGCTTATTTTCGTCTCCAAAACTAATGGGAACAAAGATAAGGCGTTTCTGAAAGTAAGTGCCGAATTTTTTGGCGAAATACCTTTTCATCACTGCGTTTTACGGGCAGATTGATGTGTTGTTTGAAGGTGACCTCGAGGCCGCCATGATGCGAGAATGGCATTTTAAAAAGCACTTCTTTCGGTTGAGAAATTAGAATATGTTTTTTTAGCCATCGAAATTGTGTAGTTTTAAATTTTAGGATTTATGGTGGTAGCATTACAATGTACTTAAAATTTTGGTTTTGGTTTTTGTACTTTAGGTGTTTTCAAGCTTTTGAAAACAACTCGTAAACGAATTGTTTTTATTTCGAAACATGGCTACGCGTGTTCCTAAAGAGCCCTCTAGTGTAAATCCAGAAGATCTTTATTGAGAAATCTTTTCTTCCCTTCTGAACCTGTCGAGACCATGCTTCGATTAACGCATGGATTGCTTGGACTTGTGGAATGATAACTTCTGTACATGTGAGTGGATGACCCAATTTTTCGGATATCTTCTATCGTTGTTACAGCCGCCGACAGAACACCTATCTCCAAAACCCATTTAACCAAGGGTTTCTCTTTGCCGAGTTAATGATTTTTCAAGAGTATGTTAGCCTGTCTGGACGTTTT